TGAGTTCAATTGCAATCTTAGAAAAATAAATTAGCTCATAATATCTAATAAAGAGAATATCTAAAGAAATTTAGCCAAGAATCCAAGTCAAAGAAAATAAGAAAAACACAAAAGTAAGAGAGAAAGCTAATAGTTAGAGCTTTGTGATCTTGATTATCCCTTCAATTCTCTTATTTTCTTGCTTTGTTCTTGACTTCCAATCACCAGAATAGTTGCTTGCTACCTCATCCTCAAAATCTTTGAAAAAGGTCCCTTAAATAGGCTCTAAATAACCTAATTTCTAAAATCTCATCAACTTCTCTTATTTTTGAAAAGTCACCCAACGATGTGGCACTACTTCTCTAGTGCTGCAGCGCTAAGCTCTTTGGAAATTGGTTTGTGTGCTTCCTTTCATCAATGCTGCAGCCTTGTTCTCCTAGCGCTGTGGCAGTCTATCAACTTCAAACGTGAGTTTCACCCACATCATGTTCAGTCTTTGTGTATTGCTGCAGTGCTTTGACTTTGACAAATATTTTGACCATGATTCAATTAGAACTGGGAGAATTGGCAAACATAAATTTGTATCCCTTCTTCTTATAATTTCAGTGGTCTAAGAATCACCTCATTTGGAGTTTTGTATAGAGAGATATGGTCAAAATATCGAAACATATATGAATGAAGTCATCAACATACTTGCATGATTTTCATGAAGTGAGCCTTTTTCATCAATTTCCTACAAAAGTCATTAGAGAAATTAGCAATAACTACTTTTAAAGTAATTTAAAACAAAACAACATAAAATTTAACTAAAATAACTTAAATTAATCACTTAACAAGTAATAAAAACTTAAACTAGAAAAACACCTAAAATGCTAAAATTTGAACCTAAAATCTCAAAGATCTAGCTACTTAAGCCCCAAAAATGTATCAAAATAACTCTATTTAATAGAGTTATCATTGTTACATGCCATATTGAAAAAATAGTTATTACACATCATGTTCAAGTTGTTTTACTTTAAGAGTTTATGTCCTAGTGAAAGACAAAGATAGAGACCAAGTGACATGCCATGTTTAAGGTGTTTCACTCCAAGAGTTTATATCTTAGTAAAATATAAAGACAGAGATCAAGTTACATGCTATGTTTAAACCAATGCATATTCAATAGATTTGTCATACACCCAGTGCATTTGAGTAGTTAAATACAAGCATGACGTGTAACAACTTTGGGTAGTGTTCTAATTTACAGATTTCACTTATAACTTCAACCCATCAAATTTGGGGTTCTGTGAATGTAAACCAATAAATTCAAGAACATAAATTAATATTATCTCTACTTTTTGGTATGTAGATCGAAGGTGATATGACAAGAAATAAATAGAGAAACATGGCAATGGTAGTAAAATTAGAGATAGTTCAATGGTAGGAGAGAAACGTTAAGAGTATAGTTAACGGATGTGGGAGAGAAATTGTTAAAATTAAAGAGAGTTGGATGGCAAGAGAGAGAAATCAGAAGTACAGTAGACGGATGCAAGAAAGAGCAATCAGGAAGAGAACTTGTAATAAATGGTTTAATTTGTTTGAAATGGCTTTAAGGGTATTTTTGTCTAGTCATGATAAAAATAGTTAACTTTATATTGGAAGCTATTTTTGAAATGGCTATACGAGATTAACCATTTTCACAATTTCCTCAACTCTTTAATTGACTTTCTAACATTTAGGTGGTTATAATGTATTGCTAGATACCACTCATGATCTATAAATATAAATCAATTATTAAATTGATATTTAATTGTGATTTATATTTATTGTCAACATATTATAAGCCTAATAGGTCACACACACATTAAGTGCCATGAATAAGATTAAATAAGGATAATTAATTAGGTTGGACTTAATTAAAATAGAGTAAAATAAAGTCAAAAAATTTATTAAGTTCTCAAGGACTTAATTGAATAAAAATAAAAAACTTGTATATGGGGTTACAACTTAGTTTAGCTATATAAATATGTTATGTTAGCCAACTTAAACTCTAATCCTTAAGCCACTTCTTAGATGATTCATAGAAAAAAAAAAGAACAAAGAAAAGAAAAATAAGTTTTCTTTTTCTGACAAAAAATAGGATTCAAATAGGATTTTTGGTATTTTGGTTTTTCAGAAAACAAAACTTGTTGGCACAAGTAAAATATATCTTACTTTTGAGAAGTCTTATTCAGTCACTATGTGGATTACTGTTAGGGGCCAAACACTTGGGTGACTAAAGATTTGGCAAATCTTAAAGTGAAAAAGCAAAGATTTTGGTTGTAGGATTTTGGACTATCTTATTCTCTTTGCAAGTTCTTTACTTGATCACAAGCTGTTTTGGATTTAATTAACTCTTAATTACGATATCTAGAGTAAGGTATGTAATATTTGAACTTATGAGTGTTCATAAGTAATGTGAAAATTGCATGAAAAATACAAATAATTGATCTTAAGGGACTCGGCTATTTTTTTATTAATTTTTCATTTTTCTACTACATTATGCTTTTAATTTATTAATTAATTTCATGTTTGAGCATGAGGTAGAATCCCATCAACTCCTTCCCTTGACGGTCATATGTGATCACCTAGATTCCTTTGTTGACACCTTCATGTTTCTTTAGCAATGGTATGAAGGATTCTCAAACTTGATTTTTGTTCAAGCTCAGCCTTTTTTGGTTTATCCTTTAAATTAGTCTCAGTTAGCTGCTTTGAATAAGGCTTGCTACATTTGCCAATGAGGCTAGCCAAAGGTGCAATAGGAGGGATATTTGGGTGATACTTGTCTAATATTATCAATTGACCTTTCCTTGGAATAACTGAGCTTGATTCTTATTAAATTGGAAAGGTTGTTTCTTGCTTGTCTTTACCTTTAATTATTTGATGAATCTTTCTTCTTTGCTCATCCAGATCAATAGTTGCTGTTTCATCTAACTTCTCATACTATAAAGAAACAATAATACTAGTAGCATTATAATCATCCTCATTCAAAAATCCTTCAATGGCTTTGGACTTATTTTATTTAAATTCTTTCTCCATGTTTTTTCTAAAACAAAGGGTTTTTGTGATAACAAGGAAACGATGAGAGTTGGTTTGTTAATTATATAAATTTTAAGGAATTGTTATTAAGGGTTTCCTAATTCAATGAAATTAGATTTCTGCATTAGATATCAAATAGAGTTAGCATAGAATAGTAATGGTTTCATATGTTTTCCCTACTTTCTACATGTATCGATTTTCCTTTAAGTGGCTAGGGTTGTGGATATATAGAATTCCTAAGTAAGCTGTATGTATTTGTTTTATTCTAGAATTGAATAATTTGATATTCATCCAATTTCAAGTCTTTAATACATTCCAAAATTTTGCATAGCAAAAAAAAAAAAAGGTCTTGACACCAAATATGCAAAAAAATGCATTAAAAGAAATGTTTTATTTTTATGTTAAGCACAACTTTCGCAATCTGTACCTAAGAGCAAAGGTAGTAGTAGTATAGACCCTTGCCACAGAGAAGAACCATAAACCTCTCAGGAATATCGGTGTAGAACTCCTACAAGAATAACCATAATAGAGTGCAATTCCAACTGAGTCTAGCTAATTCAAAATAATCACCAGAGTCTAAGGGACATTTGCATTATCTCATAACACCAATATAAAGTCATCATAAGATCTTGCTTTAGCCAAGGAATCAACAATTTCATTAGTTGATCTTGGAGATGATTTAACCATTAAGTTTATATTTAAGGAAGCTGACTTGCATAGTAATAGACCTTAATTTCATAGCATCCTTTAAGCCACTTTTGAAAATGACCTTGCATGCATGAAATCCATCTTGAAGCAACAAAAATCTGCATAGAAGCTTTCCAAATAGCTTTGAATTTAATAGCATTTGTATTTGAGTTGCCAATGGACAGAGTGAACAGGATTAAGACACACCTATCACCATCTTTAAGGGTGCCATCAATTCTAGCAAGCTCGATTCACATTAAATTTTAAAAATTCGTTGGGGCAACCTGCCAAGTTATGTTCGGTTTTGGGAATAGCACCAATATGGGGAAGTGTTTCAAGCTCCATAATCTAGAGATTGAGGCTTTGCACATTGGCATTGGCCCAAAGTGAAATTAAATCTATTATTAGAATGTTTAAGGAATTTGCTAAAAGAAGTGTATATATGTATATATATATTATATAGAAATTAGTAAAGGATAAAAGTTGTACTATATACTTGCTAGGTGGGAAACTGGGAATGAAATGGCCAAAATGTTAGGATTTTTAAATCATCACAAGGCTAGGCCAGGCCAACCAAAGTCACACACTAGAACATTCACCAAATCAAAATAAGAACAAGGGAACCACTTGCTAGGAATAGTTTTCTCTATGACATATGCATGGAGCCACATACCATAGAGGCAAAATCCAAAACAGTCACAAGTAAAGCATCATTGAATCAC